TTTTTCAAGAGTTTTCACCACCGAAAATTTAAATGCAATACCCGAGGCACCGACTCTATACAGAGACAGTGAAGAAAATAGATTAAGCGAGATAGTAGTGACTAGTAACAATGTTAGTAAGCAAATAGACAAACTAAAGCCTAATAAGTCACCAGGTCCCAATGAAATATTTGCCAGAGTATTAAAGGAATGTAAGGAAGAGCTTAGTATGCCCTTAGCAAAGCTGTTTAACATGTCCTTAAAAACGGGTGTAGTACCAGAATCCTGGAGGATAGTGAATGTAATACCGATTTTCAAGAAGGGAGATAGATCACTCTCTCCTAACTACCGACCAATCAGTCTAAAATCAATTATAGGCAAATTACTGGAAAAGCACAAGTAAACAATGTGTTTTTGCTCGTAACAAGGCTAATAGAGTACTGTACTTGGGTTCATACAAAGGAGTGTTAGTTACAAGACTAGCGAGGTCATCTTAAAACTATATCTTGTGCTTGTGAGACCTCACTTGGATTACGCACTTCAATTCTGGTCACCATATTACAGAATGGATATAGAATCCTTGGAAAGAATTCAGAGGAGAATGACAAGACTAATCCTGGGCATTAGGAACCTTGAGTACAGAGACAGGTTAAAGCATCTTAAGTTGTACGTCCTCGAGAGACGTAGAGTGAGGGGCGATATGATCGAGGTGTATAAATGGAAGTCAGGGCTGAACAAGGGGACATTACAATGGTACTCAAACTATTCAATCAGGAGCGAACTCGTAACAATGATTTTAAATTAGACAAATTTAGATTTAGGTGCAAAAAGGTAAACATTGGTTTGGAAATAGAGCAGTGGACGAGTGGAACAAGTTGCCAAATATCATCATTAATGCGAATACGCCAATAGGCCCGCTGCAGTTTCCTCCATTCTTATGTTCTTATGATTAATTGCTGTCTCAGTTGTTTCTCTTAGGCTACTATTGACAACACAACATACATATATTGTTTATCATTTTTTTTATTATTTCTTTATGGTTCTTTATTATTATTATTATTATTATTATTATTATTATTATTATTATTATCATTATTATTATTATTATTATTAATTCTAAAAATATTTTATTATTCTATTTTAAATTTTGCATTTTGTATTCGAAATTTTATTTACTATGGATTATTATTATTATTTTTATTTTTATTAATATATTATTATTTCTATTTTTAATTTTGTATTTTATTTTAAATTTTATTTACTATGGATTATTATTATTATTATTATTATTATTATTATTATTATTATTATTTTATTTATTATTATTTATTGGGCACCCCCTATACATCCTTGTGTAAGGTGAAGCAGAGAAGCGTTTACAGCGCCCAACAGGGAAGCATGCTAAGTTCATGCATGCCTTTATGTTGTAGTGGACGTCTCCCCTACAAACTGCGTAGCTGCATCCCACCTGCGACGCCTTCCCTAGCAACCAAACGAGCGGCGTCACCAGATGCTACCGTATCCTAGCAACCGAGCCAAAGACCGGTTACTTCTCGGGTTTTCCCAACATGACTCATAGATGACTCACGGCTGCTGGGTATATAAGCTCTGTCTCTCCATTGAGATTCATTCTGGCCTCACTTCTACAATACGCAACACCTCCTCCTCCGCCGCTGCCTGGCGGCCCTCGCCTCTCCTCCGCCTGCCTGGCGGTCCTCGCTCCCGCCAGCGAGCTTGGCGACCCACCAGCTGTCCTTCTCTGAGCTTCCTCACCAACCAGCTCTCATTCTGGCCATTCTACTTGAACACGCAACACCTCCTCCAGCAAGCTCCACGCTGTCCAGCATTCATTCAACCAGGAGGCCAGCAACAGGCAACATCTTCTCTAACGAAGCTCCTGCACATCTACCTCCTTCAACACGCTACTCACCGAACGTCTCTACTGAGCAGCTCCTCACCACACGGCACCTCCAGCACCAGACTGTCTATCATATAACTTATATTATACGAGAAAACCACCTTAGAGTTTCCATCCATCCTGAGTGCTAGACAACATTATACCACGAATTCCTACAAATGGTGACTCCCGGAGATTAGCACTCACACAGGATGGAGGAGACACTGATCACGCTCCCAGTCTTCAAGCAGCATAGAAGAATGGCTTATCCACACAGAAGCAGCTCTGTTACTCTAAGCAGACACCAGCTCCTCTTCCTGCCCCAAGCACCACATCCTGACGACCCCAGCACACCCGTCCTGCCTCAGACGCCGACCCCGGCCCAGCAGTAACCCCTGCCGCCCCTGACGCGGCCTCTGTTCCTGAGTGCGGACCCACACACCCCTCTTTTCTCCCTCAGGTACTCCCTGCTAATGTCCTGCACCCTGCTGCTGTCGTGGACCCAGCTGCTGTCACGAGCCCTAATCCGCTTCTGCTGACGCAGCCCCTGCTCCTGACCCAGGCCCACACACCCCAGCAGGCGCATCTGACGACTCAGTACCTGCCGTGAGGGAAGCACACAACATCCATCGCCTCCACACACCCCTCTTTTCTCCCTCAGGTACTCCCTGCTAATGTCCTGCACCCTGCTGCTGTCGTGGACCCAGCTGCTGTCACGAGCCCTAATCCGCTTCTGCTGACGCAGCCCCTGCTCCTGACCCAGGCCCACACACACCCCAGCAGGCGCATCTGACGACCCTGTACCTGTCGTGAGGGAAGCACAACATTCATCGCCTCCACACACCCTTTTTCTCCCTTCTCCCACAGATAGTGTGTATATTGACAGTTGTAATCAGCGACCAGGCTCATTCACGCCATCGCCGTTGTCTCACATGAGGCATGCACCGCCCGGTCTGCCTCACATGTGCTAAGCAACTCTACAGACAACAAGTCTCCTACACCGCCTGGAGGGAAGGGGGAGTATTGTAGTGGACGTCTCCCCTACAAACTGCGTAGCTGCATCCCACCTGCGACGCCTTCCCTAGCAACCAAACGAGCGGCGTCACCAGATGCTACCGTATCCTAGCAACCGAGCCAAAGACCGGTTACTTCTCAGGTTTTCCCAACATGACTCATAGATGACTCACGGCTGCTGGGTATATAAGCTCTGTCTCTCCATTGAGATTCATTCTGGCCTCACTTCTACAATACGCAACACCTCCTCCTCCGCCGCTGCCTGGCGGCCCTCGCCTCTCCTCCGCCTGCCTGGCGGTCCTCGCTCCCGCCAGCGAGCATGGCGACCCACCAGCTGTCCTTCTCTGAGCTTCCTCACCAACCAGCTCTCATTCTGGCCATTCTACTTGAACACGCAACACCTCCTCCAGCAAGCTCCACGCTGTCCAGCATTCATTCAACCAGGAGGCCAGCAACAGGCAACATCTTCTCTAACGAAGCTCCTGCACATCTACCTCCTTCAACACACTACTCACCGAACGTCTCTACTGAGCAGCTCCTCACCACACGGCACCTCCAGCACCAGACTGTCTATCATATAACTTATATTATACAAGAAAACCACCTTAGAGTTTCCATCCATCCTGAGTGCTAGACAACATTATACCACGAAATCCTACAATGTCTCATGAGTTAATGGCGTAGAAGCCTGAAGAGTCAATTTTTTTTTTTTTTTTTTTTATGTCTAAGCAAGTTATTGGAAGCTCCAACAACTTGTCCCTGAATACGAATTCTCAACTTTCGATTTACAGCAGGTACCTACATTGCTGCTAGGTGAACAGGGACTAAGGGAGGCTGGGAAGTGTGTCCGAACAACTTTCCACTGGCCCGGAAATCGAACCTGTGACATCTTGCTTGCGAAGCAAGAGCGGTACCTTCTACCAACCGGCGCCCCTACTATTATTATTATTATTATTATTATTATATTTTCGCCACCAGGCTGCGATGTGGGTCAGTGACCTATGCCAGGGTGGGCTAATCCCCATAAAAATAAATAAATATCCATCACTACCAACAGTTAACATTCGTTAAGGTAATTATTTTACTTCTCGTTTAAGCTATAAAATAAAGTTATCGTGGTTTGTAGCATCTGTTTTCTCGTTGTAGTCCAAAATGATGGTATTGTAGTGGATATTTCCCCTACAACTACCGTTTGTGCTGACCAGCCGATCCCTTGTCGAGTTCCCCAGCCAAAGCCTCGTGGTCTGACAGAGCGGAGTCGGCTATCAAGCCACTCCTACCTCCGCTACATAAGCTCTCAACCTCGCCGTGAACTCCCGCCTTCTACCTACAGCCCCGTAACACGCAACACCTCCTCTGAGCAAGTTCCTCACCAACCAGCTCCCTCAGCAAGCTCCTCACCCAACAGGACCTCTGAGCAAGCTTCTAAACACGCAGCAACTTCCCAGCACCAAACTGCACTGTACATTCAATATAATATATATACAGAAAATACATTGTGAGTTTCCTTTCTCCAACCCATCCTGAGTGTGAGACCACATCACGATACCCCCACAGTATAACAGTTAACAATGTGTCAAACAAAGCTGAATTTCGGTAATAATTGTAGGAAACCCGCTGTACTGTACACAGAACTGTCTTCCCCAGACTGACCTTGGTAGTGCTGCACAACTGTATAACTACCCCATGCCAATTACTGCACCATGCAAAACGGCCCGAATGCTAAGTCTATTTTTTTTAATTAACACGACACGCCAACCCTTCAGAACAAATCTAGGTCTTAACAATGTACACTTGTCTTTTTTTATTAGTAGTAAAACGGCGACTTTACTAAGAATTTCGACAGCCTATAGAAGTAACATTGTATATTAAGAGTTGTATTATTACTTGTAATTGTTGGTGGATTAGTGTCATAATTAGTAACATAATGACGTCAACGACAACATAGTATCGGTTTGTTTCCCTTTTTTATGATTTTTTAACAAGATTTATATGAGGAATTTTATAGGAACTACAATTTTACCCTTCTCGATTATCACAAAGTTATTTTCTTTTTCAATCAACCTTAATCCAGCTTAAAATAATGCGTTATATGTTCCAAATATTGTACCTTGAGATGAGATGCAGACGTCGTACAGATGAGGGCAGTAGTGTTAGTGGCTCTACCCCTCACTGTGTGGCCTCACCTGCCCAGTAGCGTGAGCTTGCATGAATCTTAGCTGTAATCAGTGCATTCCGTATTTTGTTTGTGCTCACCGAATTTAAAAAAAAATATTCGCAAATCTATTAATAAAAATCGTGTTTATTTATTCCGGTTAAAAACAACCTATAAAAAGTTTTATGTTGTGTGGGACTAACTAATTCTCACCTCATCTTGCGTGGATACTATCGTGTTATTCTCCGGTCGGTTAGAATAGTAACCTATGAGTTCCTGTATAGTGCTCTTTTCGTTAATCTTTCGAAATGCATCATATCGTCTTAACAAAACTTACTTTCACACCGGGCAGCGAGCGAGCCGATCTTTTGGTGAAGAAGATAAATGAAAAGGAAAAGTAATCAGAGACGTGACCGATCACCCAAGCGGCTAACGAGCCGATCAATGGCGAAGAGGATAAAAGTAAAAGTAAAGTTGTATCCTGGGCCAATACTCCACACGGGCGGTACTATGAGATCATCAACTGTTCCCATCCACCAAAACGTCACCATTTGTTTCCCTAGACACGTCTTTCTCTTGATACACATTTATATATGACGTAACACTTGATTTCCATTCGTTGACATGTCCACTGCATTTGTTTATCATACGGCCCGGTCACAGCTACGAGAGAAGGAGGCTGATGGTCTCTATTGGATCCCTCCATTGTTCTTTATAAGTCTTGTACAGGATTATTTTAAAGCTTAGCATTTTGTTCTTGCTTCCACGGCTGGTGTACTGTTTCATAGGTCTACCACCACCACAGCTTCAGCTGGTGCAGTTCCATAGGTCTACCACCACCACAGCTTCAGCTGGTGGGTGCACTGTTCCATAGGTGTACCACCACAGCTTCAGCTGGTGGGTGCACTGTTCCATAGGTGTACCACCACAGCTTCAGCTGGTGGGTACACTGTTCCATAGGTCTACCACCACAGCTTCAGCTGGTGCAGTTCCATAGGTCTACCACTACAGCTTCAGCTGGTGCACTTGTAATAGCCCCTGTTTCATGAACAAAATGATTATATAAATGGGTTAATTACAGATTGATTTATATACATAATCACTCCCTGTAACTTTCCACAGACTATAAGGTGTCATGTTCATGTCACGTGATTGGTAGCTTCCTTGAGGTGCGGCCAGTGACTGCTTAGATCAGCATTGAGAAGCCAGCGCCCTGGGGGCATTGTTCCTCAACGACTCACACAAGTCGGACGTATTTAAGCAGGTCTATTTACATAGCCTCCGTCCTTCTCTTAACACTTATAATTACAGTGATAAGCTACGGTTGATTTACACTTTGGAATTATATCAATAGCAGTTCCTAAATAAATGGATAACAGACAATTGGGTTTCGCTACTAAAACCCAATATAATATAAACGTTCCACACTGTTCCATAGGTCTACCACCACCATCACCACAGCTTCAGCTGGTACACTGTTCCATAGGTCTACCACCACCATCACCACAGCTTCAGCTGGTACACTGTTCCATAGGTCTACCACCACCATCACCACAGCTTCAGCTGGTACACTGTTCCATAGGTCTACCACCACCATCACCACAGCTTCAGCTGGAGATGAGCTGTCGGCCTCTTCCCTATTACAATGATGATCCGAATGCTAAAACTCGTGGAAGGAGCTGCAGGCTCTTATATTGGAGATCACAAGCCGGAAGATGTCGTCATTAATCTGGGTGTGTCTGGTCAGGTGTACAGGCTGGAGGGTAGCTTCTTGAGTAACACGGTCATGTCACCGGGTTAAGCTAATCACGTGGAACAAATTGAGTGTTGAAACAATGAAAGGCATTCTGACTGTACAGTACAACTTCCGAGAAACATCTTGCAGTGACTTCTATACCTTTCTAAAGACCAATCAGCCAATACTGAAAAAGATCCGATCAACAGAAAAGTATGCATGGGCACATAAAGTTGAAGAAGACTGCAACTAAGGGAATGAAGATATTCAGCCTTAAGCAAAGGTATTTTTTTAAGACTTCTATACATTAAAAACACAATGCAATACAGTACACCGATACTGGTGTGTATATATATATATATATATATATATATATATATATATATATATATATATATATATATATATATATATATATATATATATATAAATGCTATGCAAATATGCAAAATTAATTGTCACGACTGCTTGAAGGTTACATAGCGCCAAGTGTGCCCCGGGCGGGGGGCGCAGGATGTCTTCGGGACGTCCCCTTTATGTCAACCTTACATGGAAGGATCCTACACAGGTCACTGGCCTCCTTCCCTCGCCATGGCCTCCTCTAGTGGGGGGCCTTTAGGTAAATAAGGTAAACACTCGAAACATCTGTTTCAAAATTGCCGAATGTTTTAAAAATTCTTAAATGGCGCAGCGCGGTTTTGAAAAAAAAGTTATATTTTAATATAAGGTGAAATAATAACAACTGTTGTTAGTTACGTCATTAAACGCGCAGGCTATACTGTACTGTACACCCTCGCTGAGGTGAATGATCCCAGTTTTTACGACGGTCACAGAGATATATATATACTGAACGATAACCTATGACAGAGATTCACAGTAAAATAGAGTATAAATACTTTTAGTTATGATGTACAGCTGAAATATAAGATTATTTTCATTGCACACCAAAACTCAGAACAAATGAACTGCTGGGAGTTTCTTTAATGGCGACTGTGGTAGCGGCACAGTTTCACTTTGTTTTCGTCAAGGTCAGACAAGTTTAAACAGCCTAGGTTCATATTGAAGCATTGTTCCTATAACATTAATACGAGTGTACTAATAATACTCCGTTATATAACTGGATAGAAGTAATTAAATCTTTTATTTTCATCATACCTGAAAACAAAGAAAACAATGTTGCTATGTATTACTTGATGACGCTAATTACTATATAGTTATTTTTTACTTTTATACATATAATCGTAAGAGAAAATAATTAATATAAAATAATACACACAGGTTGATATAGAACCTTAATGAGAAAACTGATGACAAGAGCTTATCAGATATTACGAGATATGAATAATGATATCTCGAGTCTTCCCTTGCCTCATACTTCTATAAGTATTTGTTGAAAAATGTTAAAATAATGGTAAATAATGGTAGTTTATAAGAGAAGATGGCCAGGAGTCATACATTAGCTGAGCCCTCTGTGAAGAACCTCGTGTATTGCTACGCCTTAATATCGAACCTGTCCCATCGTAGACACTTATTGAAATAGTTGTCTACCTAACACGTATGTTGTAAAAAAGAAAGAATTTCTATAATAAGTTTCCAATTTAAAACTTTATAAAAACCAATAGTCTCATTATGAAAGTTATTTAAATTTTGAACTACTTACCAGCGCGGTGTTGACTTAGTCCTTCGAACACCTCTGGGATAATCAATAGACGAAACAACCATCTCCGATCCTCTAAATGTAGTGGCTAAAAGAAGACAAAAGACCATCGGTACATACCTCTAATCCGCTTCTTGGTGTTGAGTCTTATAGTTGAACACTAAGTCATGTGCATCACGGCGTCCCGATTAATCCGAGAATAGAGATCAGTTTACATGTAGCCGTGTCGGCTTGTTGTTGGTGTATATTATACATATATGTCTCAAATATGGATTTTTTATTGAAATTTGATTATACATTCTAAAATAATGGATTACAGTGAATCGTCAAGACACCAAAGAAGTTTAGAAGGTAAGTGGTAGAGCTGTTGAGGAATAAAGTAAGAAAATAGAGTTTGTTTACATCAGTATGGAGGTCTGGGCTAACGTCAACAGTTAATAACTTTAACCTTAACTTATCTCTTAACTCCCTGAGGCATTAATCCACTAACACGGTGTACCAGACCTGAGGAATGATTTAACCCAAGAACAATATATATATCTTACTTTATTGAGAAACAAAATACAGGTGTAAACGGGAGCACGACGACAGTGTCTTGTATAAGGTATTAAGTTAATTGGTCTCAGTGTGTTGTGTGTGGTTAATGGTGGTTGTTGTGGTAGGTTGGTCTCAGTGTGTTGTGTGTGGTTAATGGTGGTTGTTGTGGTAGGTTGGTCTCAGTGTTGTGTGTGGTTAATGGTGGTTGTTGTGGTAGGTTGGTCTCAGTGACTGTTGTGTGTGGTTAATGGTGGCTGTTGTGGTAGGTTGGTCTCAGTGACGTGTTGTGTGTGGTTAATGGTGGTTGTTGTGGTAGGTTGGTCTCAGTGACCTGTTGTGTGGTTAATGGTGGTTGTTGTGTTAGGTTGGTCTCAGTGATGTGTTGTGTGTGGTTAATGGTGGTTGTAGGCATGGGGGCCATTGGCTTTTATTTTCATGGTAATTTTTTGGTCACATGGCCACCAATATTATTTATGGAGTGTACCTATTGAGAGTAAAACAAGGAAGGAAACAAGTTCAATGTAACTTATTAGGGTCATTATTCGTTTTAGCACACCCGCCAATTTTTTCACGAGATGTTTGATTTCTGTTGTATTATGATGTGTTTTGTTCAGATCTGACCTTCGTTAACATGGGAAACGTGTCATTAAAAAAAAAAAGATGCAAGTTATCCTTGATCAAAAATGGCTATTTCCCATAAAAACTAAGGTGAGATCTGAATAAAGTACATCAGAAACCGAACATCTAGACCCCTAACTTTCAATAAATTAACCTACCTTAACCTAACCTCGCCTAACCCCTGTGGGGGGGCCCTAAGCCCTGCGAGGAGCCATAACCCCAGCGCCTCACGGCTCCATACAGCTTGCGGTGGGACAAGAAATGGTAGGTGGAGATTTATTGATCTAATTTCTTGGGCGTTCCTCACTTGTGCAATTTTTCTGAAAGAAACAAATATTCAAGAGGCTTCAAGGGTTAAGGAATGTATATATGAGGTAGAAATTGCCTAAAAGTAAGTGTTTATATATGATTTGAAGTAAAAAGAGCATAAGAATGGAGGAAACTGCAGCGGGCCTATTGGCCCATACTGGGCAGTCCCATTTACACCCAACCCCTATTGCTCATATATCCATCCAACCTATGTTTGAAGCTATCTAGCATATTCGAGTTAATGATGATGTTTGGTAACTTTTTCCACTCGTTCACTACTCTACAGTCGACCCTCGTTAATTCGGACCCCTTTAATCCGGATTTCGGATAATTCGGACAAAATCTGAACAAACTTTTTTTTTTTTTTTTAGATTTGTAGGAATATTACGTACGCAGACCTTAAGCTAAAATGCTGGTGCATGATGGGAAGGGCGAGGAGCAACTTATAGCTTCAGACATGAAAAATATTTACCATTTACTGCCAGTAAACAATGGAAACATAAAATATGTACCAATTAGTAATGAAAAGTTGTGCAGTTCCTTCAGCAAATGAAGCTCACCAACTACAATAGGCTAAATTACCTTACAACGTATTTCCAGTTGTCTATGTTGAAGTTCTTAGTACAGGCTAACTTATCATATCATATATACGGTATCACAGTTCTCATTGATCTACAAAAAATACTGGTAATAAAAACCTTTTCGATATTTCACACTTAATATAATACCCGGTCATCTACTTCAACCTCCTGTTGTTTACAACGACACATGACGCACCACCAGCTGTTGAGTATCAGCTAGACGGCACACGTGTTTTTTTAATCGTTTTCAGTTAAAAAACTGTTACATCACATGTATATTTTACCTTAACTGTGCCTGAATGAATATATTCTCGGAAATAAATAGTAGTTTTGCTGAAACGTGATGTATTTTAATGTAAAATAGGATAAAATACATGACGAAAACAAAAGACTTTACCTAACCTTCTGATGTTCAAGAGAAGTTACTCGTTTTTTTAATAGTTTTTGGTTAAAATACTGTTATATTACAATGGTACTTTATTCATACTGTGCTTGATATAATGTATTCACGGAAATGTAATATTTTTGCTGAAATGACGTACGTATTACAGTGGAAAGTTGGATAAAATCGTGCCGAAAACAATGACTTTGAAATATAATGCAATATTAACCCCTAAATCGGTTAATTCGGACAATTGGCTAAAACGGACACCCTTCCCCCCCTATTAGTCCGAATTAACGAGGGTCGACTGTATTTCCAAATCAACGTTTACCGATTTCGCACCTAAATCTAAATTTGTCTAATTTAAAAGCATTGTTATGAGTTCGCTCCTGGTTGGATAGTTTGAGTACCTTTGTAATGTCCCCTTTGTTTAGCCCTGACTTCCATTTATACACCTCGATCATATCGCCCCTCACTCTACGTCTCTCGAGGACGTACAACTTAAGATGCTTTAACCTGTCTCTGTACTCAAGGTTCCTAATGCCCAGGATTAGTCTTGTCATTCTCCTCTGAATTCTTTCCAAGGATTCTATATCCATTCTGTAATACGGTGACCAGAATTGAAGTGCGTAATCCAAGTGAGGTCTCACAAGCATAAGATATAGTTTTAGGATGACCAAGCTAGTCTTGTAACTAACACTCCTTGTTTCGAGCAAATACACATTGTTTACTTAGCTTAAGATTCCTACTTATCATTACTCCAAATCTTTCTCGCAGTTGGATTTCTCAATATCATCGTTGTTCATCTGGTATCTGGTTTCCCTGTTTACATCTACACTAAGTACTTTACATTTGTCCACTTTGAATTTCATCTGCCATTTTTTGGACCATTCAAAAAATTTGTTTAGATCTTCCTGTATTTTTGCAGAGTTCTCGTCAGATTTAATTACACGCCCTATTTTAGTGTCATCAGTAAATTTATTTATGTTTCTGTCTACTCCGATATCTATGTCGATTATGTATATAATAAATAATAATGGTCCAAGTACTGAGCCTTGGGGAACTCCACTAGTGACATTGCTCCAATCGGATTTAGTGCCGTTAATGCTCACTCGCTGTTTCCTGTCCTGTAACCACGCCCTAATCCATTTTAGAATATCTCCTCCTTTAATGCCACGAGCCTGCACTTTTCTAATTAGTCTTTCGTGGGGGACTCTGTCGAAGGCTTTGCTGAAGTCGAGACATACCACATCATAATTGTGACCCTCGTCCACTGATTCGAAAACTGATGAAAAGAATGTTAATGGATCAGTTAGACATGAATGCCCGCTTGTGAAGCCATGTTGGGAATCATTGATCAACGTGTGCTTCTCCAGGTGATTTCAAATAGAGTTTGAAATGATTGCGTCCAGTAATTTGCCTACAATTGATGTTAAACTGATTGGACGGTAGTTAGAGGATAGTGGTCTATCTCCCTTCTTGAAAATCGGTATTACATTCGCTATCCTCCAAGATTCTGTTACTACACCCGTTTTTAAGGACATGTTAAACAATTTTGCTGAGGGCATACTAAGCTCTTCCTTACATTCTTTTAATACTCTGGCAAATATCTCATCGTTACTATCTCGCTTAATTTATTTTCTTCACTATCTCTGTATAGAGTCGGTGCCTCGGGTATCATGTTTAAATTTTCGGTGGTGAAAACTATTGAAAAATATTTACCAGGTATTCAGATTACAGTATTGCTCATTTCTCTGTCGTTATCAGTTAGCTCGCCGGTATCTGACTGTATTGGTCCAATCTTTTCTCGTGTTTTAGTTTGATACATTTGAAAGAAACCCTTGGGGCTAAGCTTCGCCCCACTTGTTACCTTCAGTTCATTATTCCTCTTTGCTTTTCTTATCTCGGTCTTAACCCTACCGGCCAATACCTTATAATAATCTTGAAGGTAAACGGCTCCACGATTTATTCTCCTACCTATAGCCTTCCTTTGTCTAATAATATTCTTTAAATAATTATTCATCCATTTGGAGTCATTGATGTTTGATCTGAGTTTTCTGTATGGTATGTTCTGCCTTTGTGCATTAAGTAACTCATTATTTAAATTGTTGTGGAACTCGGCAACCTCAGATCTCGTTATCAGGTCTCTCGGTAAGGTGAGGTCGCCCTCTGTGGGTACATTGTTAGAAGTCACCTCATGTGAGATCATGTAGTACACCCCCAAGCGTACTACCCCTTCTCTCAGCTGCCTCTTCAAACTATCAAAGTTTGCCCTTCTGAAATCTTGGACTTTAGTGGAATTTTCCTTGCAGCTGCCCTGAAATTCTAACTGGAATCTAATTTCTTTGTGATCGCTGTTAGCAAGTTCGTTCCCTACCTCGACATTACTAATGAGGTTTTCTCTGTTCGACAGAACTAAATCGAGTATATTATTACCCTGGGTGGGTTCGGTTATATGTTGGCTTAGGAAACAGTCCTGGATTGTTTCAAGAAAATAATCTAATTCTTAGTTACCCGTTTGGTCAATCCACTCTATTTGGCTAAAGTTAAAGTCGCCCACTATACAGACTTTGCTATGTATGGAAGCCCTGCGCATTTCATCCCAAATAAGTCGCTCATCAACTCTATCAAGATTAGGAGGTCTATATATTACACCTGTGATTAATTTTTCCCTACCATCGATTAATTCTATCCAAATTGTTTTTGATTTCCGCTCAGTTTTTATTTCCTCTCTCTAAATATGAAGAGCTTGAATATTGGGTGACAACATTATCAAGTCATTACGTAACTCATACTGGTCTTTTTTTTGTGTGGTCGTGACTTTGTAAACAAATCTATCCAGAGTATCATTAACTTACAATAACATAACTAATTGTATATGCGTTGGCCAATGTTCTCGCTTTTTGTTGTTTTATGTCCTTATT